AATATCGTCTTTTCTTTGCCAGGCAGACGAGAAACGGACGTGCGTAAAGCACAAACCTGTGCGCTCGCGATTAAAAGCCCAGTCACCATAACAACCGCCCAGCCAATAGAAGAACGGGAAGCTGTTTACATGGGGGTGTCGCGTTGCTAGGGTGACGGACAAACGTCCTGCGGCAGGTATTAAACTGAGAGACCCCGCAGACCTCGAACCGAGAGCGCAGAGACACACTCTCCCGGAGTCTCACGACTGCAGGCTATTGCGCCTTCATCCGATAAAGTCTGTGCTGCTCTTCTCTGAAACCAGCTCTTGTGTTATCGGATGCTATTTCCCTGCCATCCAAGCCTCCTATCAGCAAAGACAGGTGAGTCGGTCCAAGCTGCGCTTTTTGGAATAGACCTGACAAACGTATTTATCATTTCAAAACTGTGTTTATATGAAAATAAATCAGTTGAGTTGTATACATTAAATGTATACTTTGGTCTAGTTCCTAGCGTGATAAAATAATGTATTTGTATGTAGTAATAATAACGATGACAATAATAAAGTTGTAGAACTAAAAAAGAAAACGAAGTACGCTTACTTTATAATAGTCTAATAATAATTTATTACATTTTGTTAAACTACACTGACAACAACAAAAAAACGGCCTAAAAATGGAAAGATTAAGTTATTCAAGTCAAAATGTTATTTAATCTCACCTAAATATATTCATTCAAGCGTACTTCTATAGGTTAAATCAAGAAATTGCTCTTTGGTTCTCATCGAGCAATCGCAGATCACCTGGTTCTACAGTGTTAACATCTGAATATTGAAGGCAAGGCAGGATTCTGTGGGCTTCCGTGAATCCTGGTGCACCTGCCGTGCTGAGGAATGTTGTTGGTTTGGGATCTGCTCTATTGTGTGCTCACAGACGCCAGTTATGAGCTGTTGTAAAGCGCGACCTGTGAAGTTTCAGGAAACGTCTATGACCTCTATAAGCTGGAGAATCCCAATAAAGCCACAACACTTGCCTGCGCTCAAACTTTCTGTCTCCTCCTCAGGATCTGGCTGGGACGGGACCATGCTCTCCATGAGTTACGCGGACCCCTGGCCGGAGGGCTCGGTGGGGCTGGAGGAGGAGGTGGTCACGGCCGCCGCTCAGGCCGAGCAGCTGGACCGGAGCTCAGTCGACTGCAACAGCAACAGCTGCAGCTCCGACAATTTAGACGACAGCCTCACCAGCCTCCAGTGGCTGCAGGAGTTCTCCATTCTCAACGCCAACGCCTCCCAATCCAGCCATCACCACAGCCACTTCTTTAGGAGCCAAGTCGGCTCGGATGCGCCCTCGTCTCCTTTAGCAGGAGATCCGGCGTCCATAGGTATGCCGCTGACCCCGGGCAAACCCACAGCGGCGTCTTTCTGCAGGACGCCTTGCTTGTCGGCTCTTCCCAGCCTGGTTGCTCACGGACACTGTCCGGATGAAGTCGATTATAAGACCAACCCTCATATCAAGCCGCCGTACTCATATGCAACTCTCATCTGCATGGCCATGCAGGCCAGTAAGAAAACCAAAATCACTCTCTCATGCATCTATAATTGGATCACAGACAACTTCTGCTACTTCCGCCACGCAGACCCCACTTGGCAGGTAAGATGCTCCAGTCGAACTTAACAACTTTTTTTAATGCCTTGCGCTTAAAAGTTGCTCTTAATAGATGGCTCGTTTGCATATCTGGCAAAGGGTATTTTGCTATTGTTTGAGCAGAATGGAGGGAGAGAAAGCCTTCTTAGCACCTGCTGAAGTGGATTGTGTATTGGAGAGAGGCCAACAGAAACCTTTCAGAAGCCTGTTTTTATTTAGAGGCTTGATATTTTTAGTTTTGTGGATGGCTATACCAAACAGAGTAAGAGCTTTTCCAGCTTAGTTGTTCGACTAATGACGTGTGCTTTAAGAATCGCAGCAGAAGTGTGCAGTAAGGTGTAGTGTAAAACAGTTACATTGGTCTGCTTTTGTCTCCTTTAGACATGTTTATGATTTAAACTGCTTTTCAAAGTGAGGCAAGAATGAGCTCATAAGTTGGATATTTACAAAAAAAAAGGGGGATTTCTAAAAAAAAAAAAGGTTTAGATGGTTTGGTGAATTATTAATTAACCACTTAGCCATAACCTCTTTTCTCTGAAGAAAACGTAGACATTCGCTCAGTTTTTAGATATTTAAACTCAAAACAATGTTTAACTAGGGTTAGGAGGTCAGTGCTGCATTTAAATGTAATTAGCTTGTGGTGGTTGGTTGGCATGCCAGTGGAGGCCTTTAAAGACTCTACGTTTGTTAGCTTTGTGGTCTAGCATACTACTGAAAGTTGACAAAATTACCATTTAGTCTATTAATATATTGAGATATAGACTTTTAAATGATACAATCTTCCTCTTCTAGGAAATGGCCTCAAATATTGACGATGCATTTTGAACTTACTTGCATATCTAAATTTTGTCCAATCAAATGCTGTTTATAATACCTCCTACTTTTGATCAACAGTAGCAGATAAGCTTCAATTTGTTAACATTAGTTAATGCATGATGCATTATAAATAGCACATTTTACAGAATGTATTCATTTTATTCATGTTAATTTAAAAATAGCGTCGCCAAAGGAGGGGGCTTTGTTGAAAACGACGTGTTTGAGAGAGGCGGGGCATAGAGGATCTACAATAATGTACAGTATTTGAAAAATAATGTGTTTTTTGCACATTAAAGCATGTCAACATATTCGGTTACACCAAATACACCAAATAATGATCTTTAAAATAGCATCATATGACCCCTTTAAAGTTCAGACAGAAGTCACTTTAAAACAGCTTTCTGTTGGTCAATGCAGCAAATTGGCATGAAAAGCTTAAACCCAATGTTAAATTCCCAATTCTGCAGATTTCTAGTGAAATGAATGGAATGGAATGGATTTTGCCCATTTGTCGAGTAAATGTGACTACAACTTTAATAGAACTCAATTTATACAGAATGTCGAAAAGCTAAAAATTTATGTAGAAATGAATGTTAATCTAGATTACTTAATGCAGTTAAAGTATTCATAAGTATTAAACCTTCCTGTAAAGTGTTATGTCATGGTTAAAGGATGTGAAAACTGGTTACTGTGTTTTTTGCACATTAAAGCATGTCAACATATTCGGTTACACCAAATACACCAAATAATGATCTTTAAAATAGCATCATATGACCCCTTTAAAGTTCAGACAGAAGTCACTTTAAAACAGCTTTCTGTTGGTCAATGCAGCAAATTGGCATGAAAAGCTTAAACCCAATGTTAAATTCCCAATTCTGCAGATTTCTAGTGAAATGAATGGAATGGAATGGATTTTGCCCATTTGTCGAGTAAATGTGACTACAACTTTAATAGAACTCAATTTATACAGAATGTCGAAAAGCTAAAAATTTATGTAGAAATGAATGTTAATCTAGATGACTTAATGCAGTTAAAGTATTCATAAGTATTAAACCTTCCTGTAAAGTGTTATGTCATGGTTAAAGGATGTGAAAACTGGTTATGCTTTATTTTAAGGTTCAGTTCTACTATGAATCTTGCCTCAATAAACTCCTAATTTGCTGCGTGTTAATAGTTAGTAAGGTAGTTGTTAAGTTTAGATAATGGGTAAGATTAGGGATGAAGAATATGGTCATGCATGTGCTTTATAAGTACTAATAAACAGTCAATGCATGCTAATAAGCAACAAGTTCATATTGAGTGTTGGTCCATATACTAAAGAGTTACCTGAAAATTAAAGCCAAAAGTAATCCCTATGATATGTCTTGCCCAAAGTTCTTTTTTCAATAAGAAATACATCCACATAAGAAAAAACCCTGCACTCAAGCTATTTCACAGGGTCTTTAATGCATGACTTCCATATGTTTAAGTGCATCATAATAAAGCCAAATTCCAATACACAATTGAACTATAGATTAGACTGGAGATTAATACATATTATCATGGATTTTCTCCTTCGTCATTGCAGAACTCCATCCGGCACAATCTGTCACTGAACAAATGCTTTATAAAAGTCCCGAGGCAAAAGGATGAGCCAGGCAAAGGTGGGTTCTGGAAGATCGACCCCCAGTATGCAGAACGTCTCCTCAACGGTGCCTACAAGAAGAGCAGGATGCCCCCTGTGCAGATCAACCCAGCTCTTCAGAACCGCCTCAGGATGAACTCTCACGCTGGACAAGCTGCAGCCACCGCAGGGATGGCCAGAAACCTTTGCGTGAGTCCCGAGTCCCAGCAGCTCCTGAAAGAGTTCGAGGAAGCCACGGGAGCCGATCAGAACTGGGACCCTCGTTTGGCTGAAGCCACCATGTTGAATTGTTGGGTCTCAGGGAAGGGCAGCAAGAGGAAACAGCCGTACAGGACTGGTGGGAGCAAAGCTCCACGACGCTCAAGCTCCCCACTGCTGTCCATGGACGAGCAGGAGGACTTAAGCTCCCTGAAGGGCAACTTTGACTGGGACGCCCTGCTAGACTCGGCCCTGAATGGAGAGTTAAGCTTGAACGAAGGGGGGCCGTTGAGCCCTATACCACAAGACGAGGACTTGATGGTTAGAGGCACCCATATCAGCCCCCTCGAACTTCCTGGAGGCGTCGTTGAGAACCATGTGTTGATGGAAACTCAGAGGAGCAGCGAAGCAGACTTTGATGAGGAAACCTTCCTAGCCACTGCATTTCTCCAGAGTCCCTGGTCGGAGGTGGAAGAGGGCAACCGTCCCGACTTCCTCTGTAGCTCAACGGTCAGCATCGATCAACTCTTTGACCTGGGAGACTCTCTCGGAGGAGACTTAAGCAGTAAGATCGAGTCTCTCCTTTGAAGAGGTCATCAGTGACACTTGAGATTCAGGCCTTCGGACACAAACAAGTCAACGAACAAAGAGGGTTTGGACTGTTTACCCCCAAAGATTTCATGCTGGATTCCATGAAGCCCACGTGAAGATGTATTTTTAAAAGCGTATCTATTTCTACTACTGATTTTTACGATTATGTTTTTGTATTTGACATGTTATCTACCTGCATTACAGCTAATCTAATCAAGATCCTTAGTGAGTCCCTATCAAATGCTTGGAACATGGGATTCGGTGACTGAGCATGTATGGAGGTAGACAAAAAAAAAAAAAGAGATGCAAATTTGTTGTTTACAATTCAACTTTACATAGCAGAACTGAATAGTTGAGACACCTTATGGATGAAGTCAAATATGTTAGACATATTATATCATACTCAAACAAACTCTTTAAGCAGAACTTTAAATCAACTGTGCAAATGAAATTGTGCATTATGCAGCCTTCCTTGCGACTGCAAACAACAGTGAACACTTCTAAAAATAAAAAGGTTCTTAATTGGCAGTCCTGCTTCCGTAAAGAACCTTTAACGTCCATGGAATCTTTCCATTGTTCAAAATGTTCTTAAGAACTGTTCACTGAAAGGATCTTTGGGGAACCAAAAGTGGTTCTTCTGCATTGCGAAAGGTTCCTTTATTTTCAAGAGTGAATTTAAGTAGTCCCCAGGGCTACACATTTTGGATGTCCCACCTGATTTATATCATCAGCTCATTGGTGGAGGCTCCAAGACCTGGATGTGTCAGACAAAGGAGACGTCCATAATGTGCAGTGCTGGGGTCCTCCAGACCAGGACTGAAGACCACTGTTGTAGAATACTGAAACTGAATTGTTTAGGTTTCTAGAAAACAAATTAGCTGTTTTAGCACCGAATGGCTGATATGATGAAATGTGGTGTATTTTGATAGTGAACCTGCACTAATTTGATGAATGGGTTTTTGGGGGTTCCTACGCATGTTGAATTATTCGGTAGGCAAAAGTATATGTGCCAAACTTTCTCTCTTGCAGCTGAATTCTGGCTCTGATAGATTTCTGCATGCACATCTAACCACTTTCATGCACATATTGTGTTATGAGTGTTACGCTGACTTCACATAAATGATATTTTATGTCAAGACTACTTTTATCTTCTTATTTAGATTGTTAGTACTAAGTAAAGTTAAATGGGATGAGTTAATCTCTTGGGAAGATATGTCATTAAAGTAAATAATAAAAAAGGCACTAATATACAAAACATTTTTTGGTTTGTTTGTTTGTTTTATCCAGAATATGAGCTCAAAAATGGACCCCAATCAGTAAAATTATTTTGTATCACTCCATTGGGTTTCAGTAAGATCAAACCTTTGTATGTGCCAAGGAAAATGGATGGCAAAGCAGACATATTTTTATGTCAAAAACATATATGTCTATTCCTATGCCTGTTTGTTCTGAATTTGTCATGTACCAAAATTTGTCCAAATACCCAACTACGTATATAGAAATCAAATGATTGTGTAACAACAAAATTTCTTCCAAAGATACTAGTGGGTTGATTAATTGTTTTTATTATCGTACCTGTCATTGTTCTCTTACTTAATGTCCCCCCCCCCCCTACTGACACTGATACACCTGCAATGATGCTTGTTGCTTTGTTTCAGAGACTGACAACTTCACCTCAGCATCACCTTCTTTAGCCTATTTGAACATACTGTACTTAAGATTAAAATATAAGATAGATATCTCATGTTGTTGTGTGTGTGTTGTGTAAAAGGGCATAAAAAAGATCTAAAGTTGAATCTTTTTCTCAAAGCAGCATCTTTTACTCAGTTCATGCTTGATTCCGCTCCATTTGTGCTCTTGCTTTTATTATGCGATGGGAGGGACGTCAAATAGAGCAAGACAGTGTGTGTGGGATTTACACAAGCATCTCTCTGCTTGTCTTATTTTGAGGGTGTCGCTGTCTGTGTGGGGTGGGTGTTTAGGGCTTTGTTTGTGCTCAGTGAGATTCTCGTACCCCCCAGAGTTCCAGTCAGGCCTGCCCTCGCTCGGCCCATGTGGGGTCCAACGGGGACGACGTCCCACGCCCTCATATATCACTGTGCTTTTACATAGATCAACAGGACCTGGCATTCATATCGGGAAGCTGGGAAGCGCTTGGACCTCATAAAATGTTTTATGTCATTTGTTGGGAGACTCTCACATAATCTGTCAACAACATGGTTAAGAATTTACGTTTCACTTAGAAAATTAAGCCTATTTTAGAACTATTCAAACTTATTGCAGTTTGTTTTTAATTTTAGGATAAATGTGACCTGGATACGTTTACAAGACATTCAGCTTGTTAAACATTGAGTTTTGTACAATACAGTGCCTATTTAATTTCTGAGAGAAATAGGGTGCTTCTATTATTTTTTCATCTGATCATTAACTGGCTATGATTTATTACAACCTCTATGTTAAAAAAATGCGTTGACAAAACAGAAAACAAACTTTATCAGTACATCTCTGTTAAAATAGTTTTCTAGATTAAATGCGGAAAAAACCGTGTTGACAGAATAAATAAATAAATAAGAATATTTCAGATAAAACTTTGTAAAAACATGTTGACATTCTAGATCAAACAAATAAATAAATAAATATGTTAACAGATAAATAAATTAACAAACAAACAAACAGGTGTTTGTTTGCATTTATTACTGCCTCTCTGTTAAAATAATATTTAATGTCTAATGTTATTAAATGTGTTGACAGAATAAATAAATAATAAGAATATTTCAGATAAAACTTTGTAAAAAACATGTTGACATTCTAGATCAAACAAATAAATAAATAAATATGTTAACAGATAAATAAATTAACAAACAAACAAACAGGTGTTTGTTTGCATTTATTACTGCCTCTCTGTTAAAATAATATTTAATGTCTAATGTTATTAAATGTGTTGACAGAATAAATAAATAATAAGAATATTTCAGATAAAACTTTGTAAAAAACATGTTGACATTCTAGATCAAACAAATAAATAAATAAATATGTTAACAGATAAATAAATAAATTAACAAACAAACAAACAAACAAACAGGTGTTTTTATTATTTAATAATTTATCACTGCCTCTGTTAAAATAATATTTCATGTCTAATGTCTCTATGTTAAAAAAATGCGTTGACAAAACAGAAAACAAACTTTATCAGTACATCTCTGTTAAAATAGTTTTCTAGATTAAATGCGGAAAAAACGTGTTGACAGAATAAATAAATAAATAAGAATATTTCAGATAAAACTTTGTAAAAACATGTTGACATTCTAGATCAAACAAATAAATAAATAAATATGTTAACAGATAAATAAATAAATAAACAAACAAACAAACGGGTGTTTGTTTGCATTTATCACTGCCTCTGTTAAAATAATATTTCATGTCTAATGTTAATAAATGTGTTGACAGAATAAATAAATAATAAGAATATTTCAGATAAAACTTTGTAAAAAACATGTTGACATTCTAGATCAAACAAATAAATGAATAAATAACTAAATAAATATGTTAACAGATAAATAAATAATTTAACAAACAAACAAACAGGTGTTTTTATTATTTAATAATGTATCACTGCCTCTGTTAAAATAATATTTCATGTCTAATGTTATTAAATGTGTTGACAGAATAAATCAATAACAAGAATATTTCAGATAAAACTTTGTAAAAAAAAACATGTTGACATTCTAGATCAAACAAATAAATGAATAAATAACTAAATAAATATGTTAACAGATAAATAAATAATTTAACAAACAAACAAACAGGTGTTTTTATTATTTAATAATGTATCACTGCCTCTGTTAAAATAATATTTCATGTCTAATGTTATTAAATGTGTTGACAGAATAAATCAATAAATATCTGTATAAAGAACATTCTAGTCAAACAAACAAACAAATAAATAAATTCCTTTAGGATGGATGGGTGTACTGTATACAGACAATTATCCTTCGGGTTCTCACCCCTCTCAGGAGAGGTCTGGGATAACCAATCCCAGCTGGAATAGTCTTTGCAGGTAAAGTGTACTCGTAATTATAATTCGGTGGCTTGGTCAGATGAGAGGCCCTGTAACCAGATCCAGGTATTATCCTGCAGTCTTGCTGATAGCTACAGGTAAGGAGAGCACGCTGATGAAATGCTAAACCTGTTGCTTTTGTCTTTCACTCTAACAATGTTCAAAACTAAAAGTGTAAAAAGCTTTCTAAGCAAGAGATAATGTAATCAAAATACAGCCAAGCAATAAATGTCTTGTTGTTGAGTATCAGGGTTGCGTGTTTCAAACCTAGGAGAATATCTGTTATACTGAAATTGAATTTAAAATGTAGAATTGACATTTGGATTTAAGGAAGTGGATTCAAAATGGAATGCAATTAAGAATTCATATAGGTTTTATTTTTTTCAGTACAATTTCTCTGCAAACATCATACACACAAAATATTTTAGAAACATCAGATGATCTTAATGATGAACGTTTATGATTTCATATACAATATTGATTTATATAATACCTTTCAAAAGCTGGGGTCAAATTTTTTTGTTGTTTTTGTTTTAATTTTCAAAGAAATTACTAATTTTATTCAGGATGCATTAACTTGACCAAAACAGTAAAGACTTTTGTTCTTTTTAACTTTCCATTCATCAAAGAATAATAATAAGAAAACGTGTCACAGTTTCCACAAATCTGTAAAGCAGAACAACGTTGATAATTAGAAATGTTCCTTGAGCAGCAAATCAGCATATTAGAATGATTTCTGAAGGATCATGTGACACTGAAGACTGGAGTAATGATGCTGAAAATACAGCTTTACTATCACAGGAATAAATTACATTTTAAAATATATTCAAATAGACAATGGTTATTTTTAATTGTAATAATATTTTACAATATTACTGCTATTACCGCTTTTTTTCCAGTATGTTTAATCAAATAAATACAGCCTTGAGCACAAAAGACAAAAACATAAAAAAAAATTGTTACTGACCCAAAACATTTAAATGGTAGTTTATATAGTTTAGAGACATTTATATACATTTTCATTAAATGTAATAGAACACACTAGATTAAATATTTATTAAATGGCCAAACATTTCATTTAACATTACTGAATCCATTTAAAAACATCAATTTATACTAACAAAACCATTTTAATGGGTTTAATCTGGTAGCAAAAAGCTTTGTCCAATTCAAATTCACACTGATTGAAATGGAGCCAATTCTCAAATTCTGCATTTTCCTCAGGTCTGTTTGACGTCACGTCAGGGAAATGTTATTCAATGATAGAAAACATTCAGAAAGGAGAGTAAATATCAGAGAGGTCGGGCCTTTACTGTAACGGGAGACAGTTTGTCAGACGGTCGAGTCAGACGTCAGACTGTGGGATGCTACATTGTTGTGAATTTGAGCCACTGGGCAAGCTGTGGCTTCAGGATGCCGTTTC